CTCTCTTGCAGACACATGCAGCTGGTGGAGCTCCTGGTGTCCTGCATGCCCTCTGTCCATGCCTGCTGTTCTTCTGCTGGTACTTGAGGAGGGGGCGCTTAACATGTTAGCATGGTAGGACAGTTACTCAGAACTAGAGAAATTCCGTTGGCATCTTGAAAGAATTGCTGGCAGCTCTCTGCGTAACTGAGAGACTGTCCGCAATTGCGGACTTATTGTTGGATGCTGACCCCACGATCGCTATGAGTTTGGCAATATACAGTTTATATACTCGTCTAGACCAAGCCTCAGTGCTTTCATCACATCCATGGAATTGGCATTGACGCGGTACTTGGAGCCCTCATAGAAGAGAGCCCGCAAATGTCTGTTTTGGAAAAAAATAGCATAGTTGATTGTGGCCACATGCCTCTCAACAATGTCAGTATGTGGGAAAGCTTGTCAGCAAGGGCAATTGTCTGATTCTGAAAGAGGCATGTTGCTTGTGATGTGGAGTGCCACTTCGGTGAAGTTACGCTACTGGAGGCAAATGGGTGGCACCATCTCGTCACAAGTACGTACCTCCATGGCGAGAGGAGGGCGTGGATGTAATTCAACGACCTCTAGTAGCTGGAGGACGCTCCCTAATCATGTGGTGCGTGCAACTTGATGCATGTGCACGACCTTAATAATAAAATTACCGAATGGAGCCGTATCATGTGTCGGGCTAGAATATGATTGGTGTGATTATTGCAGAGCACAGATCATGTCAGCATTCAAGATTTGCTTGGAGCCAAATGCTGACAGGACTTTCGTTTTTCTCCTGTTTTTTTTTTTTTTTTTTATGGCACATTGCTTTTATTGATTGGTTGGTTGTGTTTGGCTCTACTTTGTGTTTGTGATGTTCTGATCGCTTAATCACAATCAGCGGTTTTGGGTCAGATTCCAAACACAAAGATCTTCCGGAATGTGCTGCAGTACCCGAATGCAACAATGACACCAGGCGTCCTCCTTGTTCGAGTGGACTCGAGTCTTTACTTCTTTAATTGTCAGTACATCGTCGAGAGGTAAAAGAGGAAAAACAAAAATCTGGCCAAACATTTTTGCATTTTCTAGACCATTTGCAGCCCCATGCTCAGTGAAGACATTGTTTGCTGTTATGTTTGATGGAGCAGTTCTCTCTCTGTTTGGCGTACTGACAATGATTCCAAGTGCATTTGTACGTTATTACAGTATTATACATCTGCTAATTTCCGTCTTCGAGTATGCCCTTTGCCCCCTGCATGTGCTCTTGTCAGAGAAGAATTGGAAGAAAAAGGAGCCTGGACGTAAGTAGCACAGATAATACTTGTGAGGGTCAACGCGCACTAACTAGGAACTAGTGCCATACCCCAAATGCACCAGCTGTACCAAGCACTGGCTATGGTGGAGGAAGAGGATGCGGGAGAGGGAGTCAGAGCACGCACACGCGCACTGACACACACACACACACACACACACACACACACACACACACACACACATTCCGGTCTTGCTAGCTCTCTGTCCTGGCAGATTTAGGCAGTTAGGATCAGGCTCGTACTGGCAATCTACTCGTTCTTTGTGGATGGATGTGTTTTGCTGGTTTGGTTTCTTATACGTGGCCTAATTCTTCGCCCTGCTTTGCAGCATGTGCTGTCTTGTCGATGAAGTAATGTCTGTGGGTGGCCACGAGTCTTTTCTGGGGTGGGAATGAATGTTTGGGGTTTTGGCCACAACATATTCGCAAGGAGGCTCAGAGAGTGTTTACTGTGGGTGTTCGCAGCCCGTCAGGGGTGCGTTTTCCTCCCCTGAGACATTTCCCCCTGAGACATTTTCGTCGTCCTTCGTTACACCGGTCGTTGATTCGTGCTCGTTTGGTCGGTTTGAAAAATGCAGGCAGGTGCAGGCATGACACTTTGGGGGGTGGTGGCAGTGTCTTTGAAAAATGCGGGACCGGTAGCTGCCCATGGGACCGCGCGCTGGGTTTTGGTCGAAACGGTGGTAAGGCAGCGGCAGGGTGGATCTTGGGGGGGGGGTCGCAGTTCCTTTGAAAAATGCGGGACCGGTAGCTTCCCATGGGACCCTGCGCTGGGTTTTGGTCGAAACGGTGGCAAAGCAGCGGCAGGGTGGAAAAGTGGAAAAGTGGAAAAGTCTGACTCGGAAAGGGCACAGCCTTGGCCACAGGTTGAAACGACGCACCTGCATTGCATTTGCAAGTGCGAAACAGATGTGTCTGAACGTGGACGTATTCAACGCCTGAACGTTCAGCGCCCGATTGAGTGAGTCACATGTGACAAAACAACTTTTTAATAAAATAAAAAACTTACAACAACAAACACAAGCACACACATATACGACATATGGACCAAGATTCAAGGACCACCAGCCTCGACACCAACTATGAATCAAGGTATGTCAAATATCTAATACATTAATATCATACAAACTACCAAAATCCCACACATTCCAACACTAACAGATGTGATAAACACAAACACCCTAAGTATCACACAAAAACACACACACTAATCTTGACACATGCACACAAATACTCCTGTTTTTTCATGCAACAATCACCCTACTTCTAAACCTCACCAATAACGCCTCCTTTATCAATCAAGCATATACAAACTACGGGCTGCGTAACCGTCCCCTCACGGTAAGTCAATCATTCCCGAGGGCTGCTCTTTCGGAGCACATGGAAGAATGGGAAATCTTCTAGGGAGTTTTAAGCAGTAGTGCTCCTGGTGTCGCGTGGAGATGTTGTGGAATTTGGCATAGTACTTGCAGTGACCTCGCTGTAGCACTATGATATCATCTGATTCTGCAAGTTGTGCGACTGGGGGAGGCACTCTTGGTGTTGCTTACAGGTCCTGTGGTGTATTTTTTATTTGTGGTGGTGTTGTAGGCTGTCGGAGAGGGCTTTAATTTTTTTTAAGACCATTGGCATGTGTGGTTGGTGCTTTTGTGTTAGTGGAGCCTTTTGTTTTATGCTGTTGGTTTTGTTTAATTAAGTTTGTGGTTTTGTGGTCCGACGCGGAGGGCTCTCCAAGTTTTTTTGGACTTTTGGCAAATGGGGTTGGCGCTTCTTGCTGGTGGAGTACCCTGTCTTAGGTAAGTTGCCTTTTGCCCTCCACCCTTTATGTATATTGTATTTTTTGGCTGTGACAGACCTTTCTTTGTTTCGTGGGTGTTTTGCTTGCTTGTGATGGGGTGTGAACTGACAGTCTGTAGAGTTTCCCATCTGGTGTGGGTGAGTGATAGTCTGCTTCGATTTTCGTCACAGGTACCTTGAGGGCAGTGGTTGTTGGTGCCTACCTCAGGGTATCAGTTGACGGGCAGTGGTTGTTGGTGCTTACCTCAGGGTATCAGTTGACGGGCAGTTGTTGATGCTTAACCACAGCCGTGGTTAAGTGGATGATCACTTACAGTGTAATCAGTTAGGGGATTCTGCAGGGTTCAGCCTCCTGATGAGTCGGTGAAACTCCGACAAAACAGTTTGTCACAGCCGCTCGTTTGTTGTCCTCCTCTCCCTCTCTGCCTACGGTTGACCGGGCAACTCTGTTTGACTATCTATCTATCTATCTATATATATATATATATACAGACCTTTCTTTGTTTCGTGGATGTTTTGCTGGCTTGTGATGGGGTGTGAACCAATAGTCTGTAGAGTTTTCCATCTGGTGTGGGTGAGTGATAGTCTACTTTGATTTTGGTTAAGGTAGATTATCATTTACAGTGTAATCAGTGAGGGGATTCTGCAGACTGTTGAGGGTTCAGCCTCCTGATGAGTCGGTGAAACTCCGAAACAGTTTGTCACAGCCCCTCGTTTGTTGTCCTCTTCTCTCTCTCTGCCTACGGTTTACCGGGCAGTTCTGTTTGTGACAATACATATAAATATATATATATGTGCAAGTGTGCCGCTTCGGTGGCAGACGGGTGTGTGAGCACTTGGCGCTGAACCACACAAGTGTGGCCAACCTTGCATTTTCTATTGTACTGTCTATCTATACTTTTTCGAGAGAGAGAATTTGGGGTGTTTTTTTTAAAACGCACACACCCATCATGCCTTGTGCCGTGAGGATTATGAAGGGATAGCCCACACGAGTTTTTGTCTTCCTACCTATGGTGACAGTCAAGACTGCACTCATGTACAGCAACCTGACATGTCATGTCCAATTTGTAGACAGGGGATGGAACGACAATGCCTCTACAATTGCGGTCAGCGTGCCTGTTTGTTCCTAGCATGTAGGAGCCACGTAGCGTGTGACATTTGTCTACGCCGTGCCACTCGATGCCAGTCGAACCCATCCATAGCCCTACGCAGGTGGAAGAAAGGAGATTGGCCCACGATTAGAAGCCAGTCGAACCCATCCATAGCCCTACGCAGGGTTAAGCACACTGACACACAACATAAGAGTGCTAGTTTCGAAATACATGAGCTAAAGGAGTCTGGAGAATTCTTAGGAGTAATGGAGGAAAATTTAATCACCCAAAATTCAGTACAGAGTTTACAGACAATCTGAAAAAAGTGAAGGCATTGGACCCAAACATGCAAACACACAAGGAAAAGAGTTGACAACCTCAAACCCAAAACTCAACCTTTAAGGCAAAAAAGGACATTAGGGAACTAGAAGTACACCCAGTAGGCAGTGCCAGGGCAAGGAAATTAGTTCCAACTTCCAATTCAAAATTATCGAGTTAAATAGGATATATATATATATATATATATATATATATATATATATATATTTGCCTATCTGTCCTTTCATTTTTCTTTTCTTTGCTCATCTTATTTCTTCTTCTACTTCACGTGCTCATGCTCTTAGTCAATAGTTCTGTGACAATATATATATATATATGTAGGACTGAAGCCACCCACGCGTGTCCAGTTTTGTAACTTCACTGATGTGGCCTTGAGTGTTACTCCTGGCATGACCTTACTTGACTCCTCTGATTGCGCATGCTGCAGAGCCTTTCCACATTGTTCCGATCTTGTGGATGGTCATATTGCGTCTGTTGACTACAATATCATCTCCGATGATAGCCTTCGCAAGCTTTTTCAAGAAGGCTCGAAGTATCGGTTGAATTGGGAAATTGTCGATGTGCTCCAGGCACTGGCAATTCGACTAAACGAGTACATTGCCAATTACAAAAGGTTGTTGGTCGGACATTCTCGATCTGCTTCTTTCTCGTCTCTTTCTCAGAAGCTGAACAACTGGCGTTTTGCAATCCTTGCGCATTGTCAATCCAATGCATCTTCGTTCTCCAATCATGTGAGTCAGCCACGTTCACTACGTTCTACACATGCCTCCTTGCACTATCTTCACACAAGCGGTTATCGGGTAGATGAAAATTCAGGAATGAAAATTCAGGAATGAAAATTCTGAAGTGAGAGTTTTGGGCAGTCTGAAAATCCTGAATGGTCCTGAAGTGGTGAAAGGTCCTAATACCCTGAAAACCACCTGTTTAGGCAAGTTGCATCCTGAAGTGGTCAAGTGAGAGTTTTGGGCAGTCTGAAAATCCTGAATGGTCCTGAAGTGGTGAAAAGTCCGAAGACCATGAAAACCACCCTTCACCACTTGAGGATGCAGCCTGCCTAAACAGGTGGTTTTCAGGGTCTTCGGAGCTTTCACCACTTCAGGACCATTCAGGATTTTCATACCTGAATGGTCTTGAAGTGGTGAAAAGTCCGAAGACCCTGAAAACCACCTATTTAGGCAGGTTGCATCCTGAAGTGGTGATGAAAAATACGACTGTTGTTAACCTTCTCTCTATCTTCAACAACACTTTGCGATTGTCCCTGTGGACAAAACATCACAGAATTTGGCAATTTGCTGCAAGAATTGGTATCTGTTTCATCTCTCTACCCATTTGGACAGTCCCATTTATACTCATCCTCAAGAATCCGTTGTTGATGTCCTTGACCATTATGCAGTGTGGAATCACTATTGGGATTACACCCACACTGATACCCTACCTTACATTTACTATGTACTCAAAGCTCACAAGTCTACTCCAACTCTTCGCAGCATTCTTGGAGGCA